GATGTAACAGGAACTAGGGACACAACACTGCCAAGAACTAGACTAGCCAGGTCCCTACTCTTATGAAGCTTACATTCAAGGAGAGTCACATCATCATCATTAGGATCAGCATCATAATACAAAACCCCCAATATATCATTACAGATTTTCATAAATGCTATGAAAGACACAAGAAAAAAAGTTCTTTCTTATATAATAAAAAGGAAGGTCTAACTAACCAAAGTATGGAAAAAGCCCAAATGTCTATCGACCTATATATGGATAAAGAAGATGTGGAACATGTATACATTGGAATATTACTCGGCAATCAAAAAGAATGAAATCTTGCCATCTGCAACAACATGGATGGAACTACAGGGTATTATACTAAGCGAAATGAGAAAAAGACAAATATCATATGACTTCACTCATACGTGGAATTTAAGATACAAAACAGAAGAACATAAGGGAAGGGAAGCAAAAATAATTAAAAACAGGGAGGGGGAGAAAACATAAAAGAATCTTATTGTTTTTTTTTTTAAATTTTTTATGTCTGTATTTTATTTTGATATAGACAGAGAGTGAGCGGGGGAGGGGTAAAGAGAGGGAGACATAGAATGTGAAGCAGGCTCCAGGCTCCAAGCTGTTACCACAGAGCAGGATGCGGGGCTCGAACCTATGGGCCGTGAGATCAGGACCTGAGCCAAAGTCGGACGCTTAACTGACTGAGCCACCCAGGCGCCCCAAGAGACTTAAAGATAACAAAGTGAGGGTTGCTGGAAGGATTTTGGGTAGGGAGAAGGGCTAAATGGGCAAGGGGCAGTAAGGAGGACTTTTTGGGAGAAGCACTGGGTTATTACATGCAGAGGCTGAATCACTGGATTCTACTCCTGAAATCATTATTGCACTATATGCTAACTAACTTGGATATAAATTAAAAATAAATATATTAGTGAAATCAATGAATAAAAAGATCAGTTAACAGTATCATACTAAGCCGTAGTAAAGCCTGAGGCCAAAAAAAAAAAAAAAAATCAGTAACACCAATCCCATCGTTACTTAAAACAATTTTGATTTTTGGGGCCCCTGGGTGGTTCAGTTTGTTAAGTGTCTGACTCTTGATTTCAGGTCAGGTCATAATTCATGGTTCATGAGTTTGAGCCCTGAGTCAGTCTCTGTGTTTCCTTCTCTCTCTGCCCCTCCCCTGCTGACTCTCTCTCTCTCAAAAATAAATAAACATTAAAAATATTATAAAATAAGTATGGAGAGAGATCATTAAGGTAAAAGTTCTTTAAGGGGAAAAAAAAGAACTTTAAAATACAAAACTAATTGAGTTATTTTTTCAAAAAGGAAATATAAGAGAGCAATGAAAGACAAAGATTAATGGAAGAGAAATTAAATAGCAAGCAAAGAGCTCACAGGAAGGCATATACATTTTAGCCTACTGAAAAACAAATAGCTATAAGCTAGATACTAACTCAAAACCAGCATTTTCCTCTGACTGATGCACTGAGACAAACTCAGAATTCAAAGACAAGTAAGAAACGAAAGCTATCTTATCCACAGGAAGAGAAACTATTGTTACAAGCTAACAACATTTATTTTTAGACAAAAAGTGTTAATGAGAACTAGTAAAAACAATTACAAAGTTAGGGTTTTTTTTTTAAATTTGGCATTCATCTATAAAAATCTTTTTCAAGGGAAAAACATATTTTTGAAACAAGTTTATATTAACTTTTTATATAAAAATTTTATATTTGAAAAAAATTTATATTAACATGGGGTGCCTGAGAATTTATATTCTCACGGTTCGTGGGTTTGAGCCCCATGTCGGGCTCTGTGCTAACAGCTAGCTTAGAGGCTGGAGCCTGCTTCTGATTCTGTATCTCCCTCCCTCTCTGACCTTCCCTGGCTCACACTGCCTCTCTCTCTCTCAGAAATAAATAAAACATAAAAAAAATTTTTTTAAATTATATTAACATAAAATGTTATGAAGAATCAAATAAAAATCTATATATGCTTTTAGCCATAAGAAGTCCAATGCTACTGCACAAAATCAAACTAGTTACCTGAGTTACTGGGTATTAAATGCCTTTATTCATGAAAGATCAAAATAAAAATTTACCCTAACAGCAAATCTGGCCTATTAATTACAAATGGTGCTGATGAACTATATAATCTATAACCACTATAGGTTTCTAAAATCACTTAAAAAAAATTTAATGTTTATTTTTGAAAGAGAGAGAGAATATGAACAAGGGGAGAGGCAAAGAGAGGGGGAGAAAGGATCCCAAGCTGGCTCTGCACTGATAGCAGCGGGCCCGATGGCTCAAATTCAGGAACTGTGAGATCATGGCCTGAGCTGAAGTCAGACGCTCAATGGACTGAGCCACCAATTCCCCGATAGGTGCCCCTATACTTCTTTATGCTTCTTTTGCTTGGATATTTAACATATGTTTTCTCTAATAAAAATGTATTCCTTATATTAAAAAAAAATCTATTACCTGACAATTTTTGCTTATCTTGGCATAAATTTTTTTTTAAAAATCAAAATTTCTGTGTTACTGAGGGCATTGGGGAATATTTAGTATCTACTACTAATGGCTCTCTAAGCCAGAAAAACTTCAGAGGGAAATTTGACAATAATATGTTGAAAGCTTTATATATGAATATATTCCAGTTCTAGGAATTTATCATAAGGAAGTAATTATGGATATTTGTAAAGACTTCAACATGTATAATAATAAAAACTGGAAATAATCCAAAAGGCCAACTTTAGGAAAATGGTTAAATTATGGTTTATCTGTATTACAAAATATATGCAAAAAAATTAAGAAATGATCAAATAACAGGCAAAAAGGCTCACAATCTACTGATGAGTAAAAAATGGTTAGAGAGTCTGTACGAATGAGTGATCTCATTCGTTTTTGTGTTATTCAAACTTTCTAAATTGAGGAATTTATTACAAAGAGCACTTACAGCTTTTGTATGGAAAAAAGTTCTGAAAAGATCTTGCCAATTCTGCCTCAAACCACTTAGCCAATGAAATAGAGAGGACACTGAAAAAACAGAGTTTTCTATATTATTCGTACACATATCATCCATGATTTTGTTATTTTATTACCTAACAAATATTCATAATTTATACACAAAAGATTGACTTTTCCAAAATGTGTTTGGAAGCTCTGTGATCTAACACTGAGAGCAATGACTGAGCCCTTGTTTTCAGTCTCAACAACTTCCCTAATTCATCAGAAGATCATATTCCATTCAAATCATCCTGCCTCAGTTTCTCTCTGTACAGAATGAACACATACAAGCTTTATCACAATATTGAAAGGAATATATATGAAGTATAGCATGTATAAAACTGAGAAAAATGGAAAACACCTTTTGATTTTTAGTCTTCTCATCATTTTTATAATCATAAATAAATTATTTAACTTATGTGCCCCTGAACTGTTGCATTTTTTTCCTGTAAAATGTACAATACAAAACTCCTGAAAGGTTTTCTTTGAATTATTAACACAAATGCAAAATCGCAAATTTTCATATAAAATTTATAATAAATAGTGTAATTACTCTGCTATACTCTTCAGCAACAAATCATTCTTAAAGTAATTCAATTATTCGATTTCTAACTGTTAAACATCTTTCGAGGCAACATAGAAACACTGATGCAATCTAACCTTTATTTTGTGCTACTTGAGTATTTTATCCCTAAATTTTTCTCTGTAACTAAAGAATATATTAACATCGCTTTGGATGTAATGCAAAATTCTTTATTCTGGCGGTTTTTATCAAATACAAAAAGAATAACTAAAGCTATGAGTAATTATAAACTAAACATACTTTAGGAAAGACTGCCCTCTTGTGCCAATCAACAATATTCAACAGACCCAGAAGGAACACTAATAACTATAACCAACACTAGAAGAACTCAGGCTTCTAAAAAGGTATGGATTTTTCCATGTCCTGATTTCAACAGCTTATATAAAAAGTGGTGATCTTCAAAGAAAAATAAATTGAACAGTACACTCAGCTCCTATAGACATGACTAATTTATGATATTTAGCAGCACATATCAACATAATTTGTAATGTTTAACTATCATAGATATTAGCTGCTCAAGTGCTTAGAGGCTGACCTCACAGAGATAAGTAACTTTCTTATCCTTAAGCTCTATAACAAAATACAGAGAAAATATTAAAGAAACCAATAGCTTGCAGAGAAAAGCATAGATGAAAAAGGGATAGAATATGGTGACTTGTTTTAAAATATATATACAGTTCATCCAAGTTTTTAGGCATTTTCTTCTGAATTCTTGGGTAATAAGATACTTTCTTTTTGATGGATTTTTAAGGATTTGATATATGGTCTATTACTCTTTAATTTATTTATTTTAATTTTTTTTATGTTTATTTTTGAGAAAGAGACACAGCGTGAGCAGGGGAGGGGCAGAGACAGAGGGAGACACAGAATTTGAAGCAGGTTTCAGGCTCTGAGCTGTCAGCACAGAGCCTTATGCTGGGCTCAAACTCACGAATCAAGAGATCATGACCTGAACCAAAGTCAGATACTTAACAGACTGAGCCACCCAGGCACCCTGGCCTATTACTCTTTATAAAGCTTCTTGGCATATATAAGTGGTAAAAGGCCATTCAAACATAAGTCATTTTTAGCATTTTTAGCATTAGTATTATTACTAATAATGTATAGTAGTGAATAAATTTATTAGAGGAATAGACTTTCTAAAGAAAAACATTAAGGTGACAAAAGATATATTACAAATAACAAGTGATGGGAAAGCAGATTTCTGATATTCGATAGCATAATATCTTTCCTAATTATAACTGAACAGTTAAAATTCCATTTCTACCAAATAGGGTTGTTAGGAGAATTCAATGAATTAAAACTGATAAAGCACTTGCTATAAAAAAACACTATAAAATGTTTATTATGCCAATAAAGGAACCAGTAAGTACAGGAAACTACACATGTATGTATACAGCAATACCTACTTTCGAAGGTGGTCATGTTCTTTCAAAAACAGTTCAGTTCTTCTGTTGTTTACCCCAGATCCACTTTTATATGACCTAGAACAAAATGGAGAAATGACATCTGTGATAAACAGATATTTAGATAAACAGATAAAATAGATTTATTTTAATAAAATTTCACCAAAATCATCCAACATTCTTAAACAAACAAAAATCTTATTTTCCTTTGCCTATTATTGTCTATTATATCTTTACTGTTTCCAAGTGGAAGTAAAAGTTTAAAACTGATCGCTGCACAGCACATGGGGTGGGAAGCTACTGCCATGCATGTTTTCCTTCACAATGGTATACGTGGTCTATCAATTGGAGCCTGTGGAGCTAAAATGAAACTGAAGATCTGCCCATTTTGGCATACTTAAGGATTTCTGTCTTGGTTACGTGCATTAAAATTTATAAGAAAATGCTTTTTATAATTACTGTTAACACTTTCATGTTTCTGTTCTTTACTCACAATGAAGTATGAAGCACAAAGTAAAAAATTCAAGTAACTGCATATATACTGCAGTAAGACAAGAGGGCCATACTGATAAAACTAAACTACTGGCTGAGGGGAAGTGTCAATTTACAAAGCACAGTGGGGAAAAAAACCCCAGAAAAAGCAGCATGAAAAAACCAAGAACACACTGGACTTGGAAGACAGATGATTTAGATTTAAATCTATCTCCCATCACTTATTGGCCAAGTAACCTCAGACAGGTCTCTTAATACCTACTTTTATAAAATGAGACTAATAATTTCTATCTATACGATAAGAATGAAGTTAAAAAAAGAGGTACTATATAGAATTTGTACAATTACAAAAAACTTTTAAATGTCAGTTATTGCTGGGGCATCTGGGTGGCTCAGGCGAGTAAGCATCTGACCCTTGGTTTTGGCTCAGGTCATGATCTTGCGGTTCATGAGTTCGAGCCCCACATGGCGCTCTGCACAGACAACGCAAAGCCTGCTTGGGATCTCTCTCTCCCTCTCTCTGCCCCTCCCTTGCTCGCTCTCTCTTGAAATAAACTAATAAAATTAAAAAAAATTTTAAACGTCAGTTATTACTACTGCATCTCATCTCACTAATCATATTCTGCTTTGTACTATGTTAATTTGAATACATGTCATACCCCCTCTAGCTCCTGGTTTATAAACTCCTAGGGAGCTAAGTTGGTCTTTTCATTTCTTCCTTCTACTGTGACTTATTTAGTATCTTACTCATGGCTGGTAATCAGGAAATAGTTTAATGAATGGATGAACATGTTTCTTTTATGAGTATCTTATCAGAAAGCAAGTTATTACAGTGAGCTATAGTCTAATAATTCCCACAAATTCTGGGGAAACAAAATGCCAAAACATTAAAGGCTGTCCCCTATACCAGGGGGCACTAAAATGCATATGTAAGTAGTCTCTACAGATATTAAACCGGAGACTTATATGTTCCTGAGAACTAAAAATATTACAAAATTCCTAACTATGGTAAAAATGTTTAGATTTTTTATTCCCATGTGTTTTATAAAGTACATAAGGCTAAACATTAAAATAATAGATAAGACACAAACAATAAAAATTAATTTTCCAAGATAATTTTTGGGGACAGACACATAGCTTCAATGGCTGGATAATCCTCAATTAGAGTTTTGAGCAAAAATTTTGAATGCAATGAATAAGAAATTACTTCTGCTGCCTTACTGTCAGCAGAAGTCTTACTGGTGTAATAAAAAAGGATCTTTAGGAAAATGTTTCTCAGAGTGCACATGATACATGTCGGTTTATGACACGGTAATGCATATCATGGATATGTGTATGAAACACAAGGTCATACTTACTTATGGAAAGTAGTGTCATAAATTTCTCACAAGGGAGACAATGACAGACATCAACATATGGTCCAAAAGAGGAAAGTCTTCAGTTTTAATTAGATGCCTAATGGATTTACCTTGCCAGTTGTATTCAGTTGTGAAAAGTATTTTAGATGTGTATATGAAATGCCAGAATGTATTACTGAAGGTGAGGTACAGGGATGGAAGAACAAATATTTAAAATTATGGACTGAGATCAGCATAAAAACACTGGGAGTTCTTAAATAATTTGACATAAGGTTATAAAGTTTGAATAAAACCTAGAAAACAGATATTTCAGATTTCAGAGAAATAAAGGTTACTTTATATATATTTTAGGTAAATATATATGTAAATTTATGTAAATATATATTTATGTAAATATATATAAAATTACTGATATACATGTGTACATGCACGCGCGCTCTCACACACACATATAATTGTTAGGGGAAGAGAGAGGGTAGGAAGATAGGTGATATTCAGAAAGGGAAACAGCTTCAGCAATTGGAAATGTCATTATTCTTAAGATGCATGGTAAGAGATCAAAGAAAAACTCATGAAGGTATCATCAAAGCTAGACTCTGAATTAAAAGAGTAAAGTCAAGATTGGCAGGAGCCAATGATAAAACTAGGGGAAGCTAGAGATAAGACTAGCAAAGTAGATTACATCCATATTATAGCAGCAATGTTTAAAGAACAGTGAAATGGGAATTAGAAACCTTGAAATCTAAATCATGGTTCTGCTACTCAATTTGCCATTAATCTCAGATACGCTCTAAACCTAAACCTGAATAAATACCCTACAAAATAATACAAAAGGTAACTTACTCAATATCCTTTCGTACTGATCCCATGAGATTCTCCCTTTCCCGTATTGCCACGAAGTTTGCTTTGGTTTTATGGAATTCATGTGTATAATCCTGCAATAAATCAACATCCAGTCTCAACACAAGCTAATTATACATTTTCATCTTATGGAGTCTGTTGGGTATTGTCATTGTATTAAAATATTCTGTCAAGAAGACTGCTATTTAAGAATCAAACAGTCGGGGGCACCTGGTTGGGTAGGTTGGTTAAGTGTCCAACTTCGGATCAAGTCATGATCTCATGGTTCATGAGTTCGATCCCTGCATTGGGCTCTCTGCTGTCAGCACAGAGCCTGCTTCGGATCCTCTGTTTCCTTCTCTCTCTGCCCCTTCCCAGCATGTGTGCGCATGTGCTTTCTCTCTTTCTCTCTCAAAAATAAGCATTAATAAATAAATACATATCTAAAATAAAAAGAATCAAATAGTCAAGAAGGAAAAATAACATTCTAATCTTTTCCTGAAGAGTGACCAACTTCTTTCAAATGAAAACAATTCAGTGTTAGGGTAATAGTGCCAGTATGTCACTATCCTTTATATCTTCTAATACCTTATCTTAAGAGGTAGAATTACAAAGTAAAAAATAGTTTTAAGATAAAATGACTTCAAATAGCCTAGAATAAAATCTGAGGGCTCTTTAGTGTACACCCAGTGGGGCTTATTTTCAAATTTCATCTTTTTGGAACTCCCACAGAAATTTGATTCCTAAACCAGTCAAAGGAAAAACAGAACCAAAAGAATTGTAAAGAATAAAACAATCTTTAACATTTTCCTTTTTCTACTACCATACTTTTAAGATCATTACTTTTTAAATTCAGAGACGTATATAAAGAAAATGAAAATCACAATCCAATCTCCCAGAAAGCCCCTACTGACCCTTCAAAAACAAAAATATATACGAACGTGGGGAGAACACTAAAAAAGCACCAAAAGTAATAAAAATAAAAACCATCCTGCTCTACAATTCATAACTTTTATTGCTTTCTTATATTTTCTTTCAGGAACTATGTTTCTGTGTATACAAGCTTACCTATTATTTCTTTCACTTATGCTACTAATCATACTACAGTTGATCCTTGAATAACACAGATTTGAAATGCAAAGGTCTGCTTACATGTGAATTTTTTACAGTACAGTTCTGTAAACGTATTTTGTCATTTTTAAATAACATTTTCTTTTTTCTAACTTACTTTATTATAAAAGTACAGTGAATAATATGTGTAACATACAAAGTAGATGTTAACCAATTGTTTATGTTAGGCTTCGAGTCAACAGTAGGCTACTAGTACTTAAGTTTTTATAGAGTCAAAAATGATACACAAATTTCTGACTTGCACACTGTTCAAGGGTCCGCTATATTCTGCTATATACCTTCTTTTCATCAGTTCATAAAATATAGTAACCTATTCATATTAATAAATAGAAATCTATATTCTTTTTAATAGGTGTATAGAATTCTATCTTAAGACTGTCATTTAGTAAATTCCCTATTGGTAAACATTTTAGTTACTTATTTTGCTGGCTTAAAAAAATGCTGTTTGAAAAATAAACATTCTTGTATACATATTCTATTGAACTTTCTTTTTTTTTTAAGTGTAAATAGTAAATGCCTAACAGAATAACTGAATCAAAGGATCTTACATTTACATTTTGATAGTGCTAAACTGCCTTCTAGTATGACCACTAATTTATGTTCCCAGCAACAGTGATGGGGACTCATTTTTCTGTATTCTTGTAATGTGCTACATATGTTTCAATATTTGCTAATCTGACAGGTGAAAAATCATCATTGGTATACTTTCCTTTCAGCATGTGGCTAAACATCTTTATGGTTTTGGACATTTTCTACAAACAGCCAGTCGCATCCTTTGCCCATTTTCCTATTAGGTTATCTTTTTTGTTTGTTTATTTTAAAAGAGAGAGAGAGAGAGAGAGAGAGAGAGCATGCATGGGAGGTACAGAAAGAAAATCCCAAGCAGGCTCTGCACTAACAGGAGCTCGAACTCACAAACTATGAGGTCATGACCTGAGCTGAAATCAAGAGTTGGATGCTGACTGACTGAGCCACCAGGCACCCTTAAGTTATCTCTTTATTTCTATTATTTCTCTGTACATTAAGCAAATTAGACATGTGTTATAGTTTCTATTATTAGGCCTTGTTTAGAAAGTCTTTTACTACCCAAAATGTATAATTTTCTATGCTTTATTTTGAACTTTAGAATTTCTTTTTCTACATATACATCTTTGATCCATCTGGAATTTATTCTGGATGTGAGGATTGAGATAGAAATTCAAGTTTGTTTTTTCCCCCTCATATAATTAGCCAATTGTTACAGGCTTATTTATTTTGACTCCTCTTTTTCCCACTGATTTAAAATACCACCTTTAACAGAAACTAAATTTCCATGAGAACTTTTTTCTGTTCTATACTGGTATATATTTTCCTCCAGAATCAAACTGTCTTAATTATTCTAGCTTCGTAACAGGTTTTAATATCTGGTAGAACCAGTCATCATTTACTACTTATCTCCATTTTCACTGTTTTTTTTCTTGCCTATACTTGTATCTCTATGAATCCAAGTGAACTTTGGTGTCATTTTGCTGATTTAAAAAAAAAAGGAAGAAAAAGAAACACAAAACCCTTTTTTCATTGGGAAGACACTCAATTTTACAGACTGATTTAGAAAGAAATCTTTCCAAAGGCAGAGTAGTTTTTCCCGTACTTAAATTAGATATTTTTTTATGTTCCTCAGTAAAGTTTTATACATGCAAGTCCTATTCATTCTTATTATATTTATATGCAAGGATTTTATAGTTGCTTCCATTATATTTTCTAACAGGTTTCTGTTTATATGTAGGAAAACTACTTGCTTTGATATGTTAATTTTGTAATCCACCATCCTACTTAATTTGTTTCCAATTTTTTCACTGCTACATAATGCAAATTTTGCCTCTTCCTTTCCACTATTTAGATCTTGTTTATTTATATCTCTAATTGTACTACCAAGAACTTCCAAAACAATATTAGACATCTGTGGTGACTGTGGATATCTTTATCTTGTTTCTTCAAAGGGAATGCTTTCAGCACTTTATCGTTAAATGTGATGCTAGCTTTTAATATAACATGCACATTTTTGCATTAGGTAAATAAAATTTCTTATTACTATATTTTAAAATTAGAAATGGTTGAATTTTTTCAACATTAAAAACATTTTTTACTCTATATTTTTAACACCTCTGAATGTAAATATTTATGAATTTATTTCATTTTACTGGTATACTTTTAATATTTTCTCAAACAATATATTAAATATAGTATTTACCCCCCTTCCACATTATCTTCAAGGCCTGATGAAAGCATACTCTAAACCACCATATTAGGGCCTCTGCATGACAGCTGGCTATTTCACTGTCATTGCTAGCTAGCAAGGCCACAATAGAAGTTTATTTACCAAGTGATGAATATTATTCATTTTTACCAGGCAATAGCAAGAGCTATCAAACATTTTCAGAACTTTATTATACCAAGGGAAAAAAGGTAAAACAAGACAACTTTCTGCAGCATAATATTTATCATCTCAGAAGATTCTTCCCTTGAATCTCTTAAATACATGTGTACACATTCTATTCAGGGATTTTAAAAAACCTATTACAATTAACTTAAAAATCTCCAGCCCAATATACTACCTGCAATATATCTCTATGTCGTTGTAACGTATGCATCAGTGCTGCATTCAAAGACGGGACACCTGCACTGTTGGTATATTCTGCCATTTTATCATTTACTCCTGTAAGCTAAAAAGAAGAGGAAGGAAGTAAGGAGGGAGAAGAAAACCAATAAAAATATTTTTAAAAGCACTATAAAGAGATATAATTCAAATATTTGCCTGTATGCTCTTTTGGCTAACAGCAAAGCAAATAAAGAAACCACTCCCCAAACCAAAAACAAAATGACAGGCAAGGATTTAGTTATTCAATATTCCATAAAGGCTAAAAATAACACTCAAAAGACTTGAGAATGGCTATAATGAAAATTCAAGTGGCCTGGGGAGGCACATATCTAAGATGAAAGGGCGATTTCAATAAACATGTGTACGATAATAGACTTACCATACCTAACAAGTGATTAACACAATGACTAGCAAAACAGCCATTTAAGAGAGGGTACTTACCCTTGCCAAAAGCTGTTCAATCTCAATTGCCATTGTTTCAAACATTCTGTCTTGGCTTGACCCATTTAAAAGGGGTGTTGTGTCAGAGCTAAAGAGAAGAACCAGTAAAGAGAGTCCATTACTTAAACCTAATCCTTTAAAACATACTTAAAATAATGTTATTCTTAAGGAGGTCAAGTAGAACCCCAGAGACACTGGTTTCTTAAGAAGCTGTAATTTTTACAGAAGTTTCCCTATAAAGATCACACTTGTCTCAAATATTAAATTCAGTATAAAATATAATTATATGTAAGATTTTTCTGAGCTTTAATACGTCTACTCTGAATAATGCAAAGAAATTCCAAATGCTTGTTTATTATTTCCCAAATGAAAGTAACGTAAGCTATGGCAGTGCCCACTGAAATGTGGACTCTAAAAGAACAGATTAGGTGAAACAAAACCGGAGAACTAAGTAGTACTACATATAAAAGGAGGCATATGAGGTAGTATACATTATGTTATGGGATCTATGAGGAATGGTTTTTAAAATTTTTACCCCAAAGCAATTATGGTTCCTCAAATTAAGTTCTCTCTTCTTCACTTGGCTCTTACCAAAAAGAAATAAAATTGAGATTTACATGATCCACAGATTAGAAAACTAGCATTAAGTAATCAGAATCCGTTTTAAGTCTAATATAGATAGCCATGTCCAGCAGGGAAGTTTCAGTACCAACTCTCTACATTTCCACTTATATTATGCAATTGTTTCAGTTTCGTTTTACAAAAAATGCAAGCTCTTCTAAAATCTGAATAGTCTGTCAAAAAACTAACTTTTTACAAGTGAAACTTTTGTGTGACAGATTCAAATTCTAAAACTAGATGTCCAGAAAATTTGTTTTGCCTCTTCTGAAAAACCACTAACCTTCATTAGATCCACAAATGGTATGCATTATCCTATGAGCAGCTCAAAAGAGATCTCAGTTATACTGAAAACAGGTAAGTACCCAGGCAATGACTATGTTCTTCCATCTTACCAAAGACTTTGGCTTGCCCTGTGGCAGTGCTTGGGTGTGGTGAATGAAAACAGATGAAATCATCAGTTTAACATCAAAAAACTACCTTAGCTATTTCCCTTTTCCACATACAATTTCATAGCAATAGTAACAAGCAGTAAAATAACCAAAAAGTAGCTAATAACAAGGACTTTGACTTTAAGATGCTTAACTAGGTCCAAAGTTTTATTTCTTCTGAAAATAGTTCAATTTGAGGGGTGCCTGGGTGGTTCAGTCGCTTCAGTATCTGACTTCGGCTTAAGTCATCATCTCGTGGTTTGTGGGTTTGGGCCCTGCATCGGGCTCTGCACTGTCAACAGAGAGTCTGCTTCGGATCCTCTCTCTCCCTCAAAGTAAATAAACTTAAAAAAATTTGTCTTAAAATGTATCAAAATATCTAGTTCTTTATTAGATGTTAGCACCAACCCAAAGTTCTGTGCTTATCTCTTAGAATGTGCCCAGGCAAAAATGCTGATCCTCCAATACCAGATGTATGAAAAAGAACAATGGGTCAATGGATGTAAGTAAGCCTCGTGAAGAGGGATACTGCTTGTCTTATTCACAGATATATGCCAAGCACCTAGAATAGTGCCTGGCACGTGGTAGACACTAAATACTTCAGTGAATGAGAAGACAATCTCTATATTCATCATTCAGTTAAACTTAATTCATTTTATAGATGTGTGATGATTCATTGACCATAAAGTTCTCAAAATAGAGAAAGTATAAAAAAGAAAAAAACTACTCCTAGACGAAGACTTCTGCATCACTGAATTTATTCATTATGACATGCTTTCAATCTGGGCAATAACAAAACACTGTAGAATGTACATTGCATCTTGATCCTCCTGGTCTGAGGTTTCTTACTGAAAGGGAGAATTAGGCTATAAAAACCTACAAAGTCCGTCCCAATTTGGTGTAGAATTTCTGAGGAAATGTTTTCAAGATAGTTTTCCCTTTAAAGGAGTTGTAAAAGTATTAAGTTCACAAAGCACAGAAAACACAGAAAAATCATTATGTAACTGTATCTCTTAACAATTCAGAGTTTTAAAAACTGTATACTCACTGGCATAGTATATATGAGAGACTTAAATTCAGGAAAAATGCTCCAGTGATAAAATAAGTTTACTCGTACAAAAGAACATCACTCATTTTCTTTACTTGCTAAGTCAAGTCCAAAGCAATGTAATGCAATCAAAACTATGTGATATGCCAACAGCTTACTTTTAGGTCCCTGAGTCAATATGTTGGCCCTGTTATCTTTAATCCTTTAATAATGTGCCCTTATTAAAAAGAAGCATTATTTTGGCTATAGTGTTGAAATGAGTCTTTTGTTGGAATGTGCAGAGAAAGGTTTAGAGCATAGGCTCTGGAGATACAAAAAGATTTGGGTTCAAATCCAGATTTTTTTTGTTTTATTGATTGATTATTAGTAGCTGAAGATAATCCCACCCCACTGCCAATCCTCAGAAAAGTACGTGAAATAAAGGATAACAACTAACAGCTCTACTACCAGCAATTCCACTGCTAGATATACAGAAACATTTTTGTAGGTAAAGATGTTCTACCAGCCTTCATATAAAGCTCTTAAAACAGTACGTGATGCATGATGAACACTGTGTCAGTCGTTTAATTAGCAAAAATTAGAAACACTGTCCATCTACAGATTATAATACACAATCACAATATGATACTATATATAGCAAATAAATATGCCACAGTTAAATGTATCCATAGCTTAATCACAAAGATAATCTTAAAAATGCAAGTTGCAAGATAACTAGGAAGATACTATAAATTGTTTAGCAACACAAACATATGTAGTAAAACATAAGGAGATTATGAGGGTGTTATGCTGAGCGAAATAAGTCAATCAGAGAAGGACAAATATCATGTGTTTGCACGTATAGGAGGATTAGGAGGAACAAGGGGGAGAAGAAGGGCGGAAATGGTGGGGGAAAAGGAGAGAGGCAAACCATGAGAGACTCTTGAATGCTGACAAAAACTGAGGACTGATGGATGTGGGGGGAAGGGGGGATGGGCATGGAGGAGGGCACTTTGGGGATGAGCACTGAGTGTTATGTGGAAACTAATTTGACAATAAACTATTTGTTAAAAAAAAAAAAAGATTAACAGGACAGAGTCAAGAAAAAAAAAAACACATAAGGAGATTAAGGGGAAGTAGAAAATGGGATGACTGGGAATAGAGACTTCAGCTGAATTGGTAATGATTATTTCTTTAAGTGGGTGGTAGGCACATGAGGATCCATTATTCTTCATACCTTCCTAAGTGTTGTAAATATTTCCCAACACTTTTTTAAAAAGGGGATGGCCTAAATGAGCATAAGATTCAAAGATAAAAATACATTTTCCATATGTTCAATACAGTAGTATGCCAGTTTCTCAAAAAAGAAACAAAATTTAAAATAGCTTGGATGATTAATAGTGAGGATACATACTGCATTAGATTCATTCTAAAACACCAGAATAGCAGTGTGTATACTTCGCATTTAGGTAGTTTCTCAGATCGATTTAGCAATCAGAAGATATAAGACATACAATGTGGGCAGAAGCCCCTGGGTGGCTCAGTTGGTTAAATGTCCAGCTCTTGATTTTGGCTGAGGTCATGACCTCACAGTTTCATGAGTTCAAACCCTGCATTGGGTTTTGTGCTGACTGTGCAGAGACTGCTTGAGATTCTCTCCCCCCCCCCCAACCCCTACCCTGCTTGTGCAGTCTCTGTCTCTCAAAATAAATAAATAAACTTAAAAAAAAAAAAAAAGAGGGGAGCCTGGGTGGCTCAGTTGGTTGAGCATCCGACTTTGGCTCAGGTCATGATCTCACACTTGTGAGTTCAAGCCCTGCATTGGGCTCTGTGCTGACAGCCTGGAGCCTGCTTCAGATTCCCTGTCTTCCTCTCTCTCTGCCCCTCCCCTGCTCACGCTGTCTGTCTGTCTGTCTCTCTCAAAAATGAGGGAGAGTGAAGAGGAAAGAAGGAAGGAAGGAAGACAATGTGGGCAAATCAACTGCATTTCCTTACACTGGCTGAACTAGAAACTTATCTTTGATGCAAACTCATTCTGAAGCCTTAGCATTTTCCTTCTGACATCATCATGACCTTTGCTTAAGGATCCCAAATGACTGCTAATCTCAAGGATTAAGAAGAATTTTTATAAATCACTAAAATAAAAACAATACCAAAACAATATCAAAAATTCACCAATAGACCAAATTACAGAACTATATATATTTGTTTATTTTTTAATTCTTTTAAAACATTATACGGTTTAAGGCATAAGAGACAGAATCTGGTAGTACCTATACCTGTCGCGTCTTCCATCTCGGGCACTGCTGTGACTGTAACTTGTACACAGTTTACTGAAGGAAACTAGTTTCAGGTCAAGTTCATTTTCCAGCTGTCGAGCCTGTTTCCTGAGATCTTTAACAAAATTGTAAAAGCAAATAATTAAACACAAAGAGTCCATTAGCAGATATAAAAATCACAAAACTATTCTGAAGAAACAAACTATGAAAATCATATATTGATCTAGATTCTCCCATAAAAAAATGTTAAAAGAGAAAACCAAAGACTTACCCAGAAAAGCAAACTGTCTCTTATTTAAACTTCAGGTGGGTCAAGAAGGGGGAGAAATAGTGAGAGGTGGGAAATTTCACCTGTATTCCAAAGACAGCTACAATAAATGTTCTAACATCCCTGAATTATTCCTGTAACAATGACTAAAAATGTTGTAATTTGGAGGAAAACAGAAGAGAACACAAATCATAAAGAAACTGAGTATGCTTTATGACCCACATGACACCAACTTATCAACTCACTTTATAAAACAGAAACCATCACTGGTTTTGACAGAGATTTTCTATCTCTTTATATTCCAAAGCTTACGAAATTCTTTTTTTTAATGGTTTTTTAAAATTTATTTCTGAGAGAGAGAGACCGAGCGAGCGAGCAGGGGAGGGTCAGAGAGAGTGGGAGATACAGAATCTGAAGCAGGCTCCAGGCTCTGAGCTGGCTGTCAGCACAGAGCCCAATGTGGGGCTCGAACCCACGAACCGTGAGATCATGACCTGAGCCGAAGTCGGATGCTTAACTGACTGAGCCACCCAGGCACCCCAAAATTCTTAGAATGAATTAGTAACTGATGCTTAATTAAAAATAATCATTAACAAAGGATCAAAAAATGGTCTTTCAGTAAGTTTACTGAAAGAAATTTAGAGAGGCTTAAATTAACAACAATATGCGACCAACAACGTCAAATGTAGGTATGACAATTAAATAAGAGCCTAAGTGTTAAAAGAACAGAAGCAAACAGAAACATTGGTACAGCAGTTTGACCCAGTGGGTGAGAGAGGGAAGCTACAGTCTGGAAACCTACATCCAGACGTGAGTACTCTCATTCATGGTAAAGTGGAGGTCAAAATAAAACGGATGACATACAGAAAGGAATATTGTAAAAATCTCACTTTTCATGAGTAAGGAACACAAAACATTATTTCAATATATGTTTATTAGCAACCAGAAGTAGGAAGCAGTATAGCAGAGTCTTAGAATCTTAGTTAAGCCTCATGTTCTGAGATTCTGAGAACTGGCTCTGAGATTTACTGAAAATCTACCTAACCTATGAACCTCAGCTTTTTGTTTTTTAAACTCCTTACCTTCAGGGTTTTTCTATGCATTAGTAATCGTGTGCTTAAAGCACCTGGCACAGAGTAGGTTGTCAATAATAAGCTGCTATAATTATTATACCATGGAGCTTCAAAAAACTATAGCCTAATGAGTAGCGTTAAATATACCAACAGCCACTTGTACATAATTTAAAAACTATTTTCTATCTAGTACACACATTTCAAACAGGCATTTAAATACATGTTTTAAACTGTAACCACACTTCTCTGTAACTAGTAACTGTCTTCCCTAGTAGAAAACATCAAGTGAAAGTATTTTGAAAATATAAAACAGGAAAGGGGTGCCTGGGTGGCTCAGTCGGTAAGCCTCTGACTTTGGCTCAGGTCATGGTTTGCGGTTTATGGGTTCCAGGCCCAAGGAGGGCTCTGTGCTGACAGTTCAGAGCCTGGAGCCTGCTTCGGATTCTGTGTCTCCCTCTCCCTCTGCACCTTCCCGGCTCATGCTCTGTCTCTGTCTTTCTCTCTCTCAAAAATAGGTAAACATTTAAAAATTTAAAAAAAAAAAAAAAAAAGAAAATATAACAGGCAAGTATGGATGAACTTAGATCTAAGCTCTTAGACCAAGTGGCTGATAGTGACAATATTGTTGCTTGTAGTTTCCCATAGCGTTCATAGGGTATCAACAGGAAATACGTTAGAAGAGAAAAAGGATTCGTCGAGTAGTTTCTGTTGTAATAACGTAAGGAGTAAACTGAAAGAAAAATATGAGCCTTCACTCATCCTTGGTCTGGGAGTGAGTTTCACATGAGCCCACTTTACCGGAACATAGTTTAGGTAAACAAACGTAATCGTTAAATCTCAGGACGGTTTTTTGGCAGAAGTATATACCAAGTGCAATCCTTGCAATTCACACGGGTTCTCCCAACTTTTTCTTTTTAACAAACTCCTCTCCACAGCAGAGGGTAAAGTTATTTCCTCTGCCTTCAAACGCGACTCGACACCCAATCCTCGAAGTCGCAGCCTGACGCTGCCAAGGGGATCCAGTAGGAGACACTTCGTTCCTACAACTTCCCTCGATGGACCGGACTGACAAGTTCCTTCTTTCCCTTATCCTACTCAACGGTCCCAACAGTGACCTCAACTCTCAAAACGCTGACTCTTCCTGCCTCCTGGGCTCGGGATATCCTCGCTCAAAACTCGTCTTCTCCGAGTTCGTGCCCCAAGCCCCTTCGCCCAAGTTCGCTTAGGCTCTCAACCAAGTTCTCCTCCAGGAGATCAGGACCATCTTCTGAATCCCCGCTCAGCTCTCTCCGCCCAAGCCCCGCTCCAGGTCCCGCAGCCTCTCAGGTAACCCTTGCTCCAGACCGTTCGGTCTCCTCAGCCCCCAGGCCCGGGGCTCCCACTAGACACGCCTCACCCGTCGCCTCGGCCACTCTGGAGGCCAGGCTCGTTTCTCCGCCACCTCCCCCAAGACCCGTCCGCACCCAGCCCTTCCGCCTCTCGGCAAGACCCACAAGGTATGCCTCGCCCTTACCTTCCCAATAATTGCTTGTTCCTGCGGCCATCTTTGTTGTCCAACGTCAGTCGGGATAGGAGAGTAGAGGCGATGCGAACCAGAGAATTAACTCCACACCTTCTTCCGCCCCGGCGCCAGGGCCGATGGGATATATGAGCTTCCACAGACACCGCCACCTGGCGGTCGATGATCATTTCACAGCTTTTGAGCCGTGGGTCTGAAGGCTAGTTTTAGTCCCTGACACTACCTGTCTGTCCTGGAGCTCAGACCCTCTCCCGGAACCCCTGCCCGTACCATCGCCCTCATTTGGCTTATCAGCAGGGGCCCTCAGCAGGGGACTGCCTGGCTAAGAAGAAAGTCATCATTAGATATAATTCCCTGTTTCCCTCACCTTTTCCCAATAGGTGTCTTCAGCCAACCTCTTTCCCTTCTTAGAGTCAGAGGCTCTTTTCTTCCCAAGGCCAACCCTCGCATCCTGTCTCGGCCTGGTATTCCACTCTGGCATAGGTGCTCTTCTCCACTGGCCGCCTGTTCATCCGTCTACAGCAGTTCCGGTCCCAGCCTTGTTTCTTTTCCAGCTGCCAAATCCAGAAAGTGTGTGCTGCTTCTACGTACCTCATCCTGCCCCCTCAACCTGTCAAAATCAGCCTTCCAAAGCCTCCCTTGCCAGATACACAAATTATCACAGTCGGTCTGTGTCCACATTTTACCAGTTCTAGTGAAACGTAGAAAAGTTACCCCCTGTAAAGGTGTTTACATCACTGAGGGTCGATGGGTAGGGGTGGAGGGAAATGGGTGATGGGCACTGAGGAGGGGATTTGTTGGGATGAGCACTGGGTGTTGTATATAAGTGGTCCAGGCTCATTCTTCTGCATGTTGCTGTCCAGTTCTCCCAGCACCATTTGCTAAAGAGACTGTGTTTCTTCCATTGCATACTCTTTCCTGCTTTGTCAAGATTAGTTGGCCATATATTTATGGGTCCATTTCTAGGTTCTCTCTTCTGTTCCATTGGTCTATTTGTCTGCTTTTGTGCCAATACCATACTGTCTTGATGATTACAGCTTTGTAATACAGTGTTTAGCCATTTTTAAAAGAGTAGATCAGCTGGAGACAAATTCTACTAGTTTTTCTTCATCTGATAACATCTTGATTTCCCCTTCATTCCTGAAAGATATTGTTGCCAGATATAGAATCTGAGGTTCATAATATTTTTTCTTCAGCACTTGAAAAATGTGCCAATTTCCTCCGGCCTCCACGTTTCTGACGAGAAACTGGCTGTTCTTTGAAAGGTTTTTCCATTATATTAAGGTCTCTTTTCTCTATCACTGATTTTAAATTTTTTCTTTAGTTTTCAGAAAGGTAATTACAATGTATCTTAGGTGGTTTTCTTTGGTTTTATCCTGTTTGGGGTTTGCTCAGCTTTTTGAATCCTAGGTTCATGTCATTTAGTAAATTTGGGAAATTTTTAGCCATTGTTTCTTCTATTACTTTTTTGGCCCCATACTGTTTCTCCTCTTCTTATGGGACTCTGATGAAATGAATGCTAGATCTTTTGTTAGAGTCCTACATATGCGTGAGGCTCTGCTAATTTCTTTCAGTCTGTTATCTGTTGTTCACATTGGGTAATTTCCATGTTCTGTCTTCAAGTTCACTGACAGGCATATCTTTCCTCTCTTCCTCCATTTTGCTAGTGAGCCCAATCACTGAGTTTTTAATGTAATTTTTTTGGTAATTTTCAGATCTAAAATTTCCATTTGGTTCGTCATATCTTCTATTTTCTTTTTTTCTTTTTAAAAAAGATATTAGAGAGAGAGAACACACAAGCTAGGTAGAGGGGCAGAAAGAGAGGGAGAGAGATCGAGAGATCTTAAGCAGGCTCCACGCACAGCATGGGGCCTGACACATTGGTCAATTTCATGACCCTGGGATCATGACCTGAGGTGAAATCAAGAGTCAGATGCTTAACCAACTGAGGCACCCAGACATCCCTTCTACTTCTTTGCTGAAACTCTTTTTATCATTTGTTCTAAGTTTATTTATAATTGCTCATTAAAATATTTGTATTATGTCCTTGTCAGATAATTCCAACATCTGTGTCATCTTGATACTGGCATCTGCTGATTATCTTTTTTTTTCATTCAAGTTGAAAATTTCTGGGTTCTAGGTATAATGAATGATTTTTAAGTTCTAATCCTGGGTGTTTTAAGACCCTGGATCTTATTTAAAGCTTCTGTTTAAGTAGAACTCCTCTGACATTGTGCTGGTGGGGGTGTTGGGGAACTGCCTTGTCACTACCACGTTGAAGTAAAGAAGTTCAGGCTCTCTGCTAGCCTCTGTTGATACCCCAAGTGGTGGGTGGGGGTGCCTTGTTAGTCTTCCACAGATGGCCCCCAATAACACCCTGACGGGGGACTCATTACCATTGTGCTGTGATGGAGGTTCTGGCTCTTCACCTGGGCCTTCTTTGGCACTACCCCCCTCCCCCCGGGGCTTCATTACAGCCAAGTGAGGGTGGAGTCTAGGATCCCTGCTCAGCCATTGCTGTAAGAAGTAGAGATGGTCCTTTTTGGGGCAGAAGGGGCGGAGCACTTGCCTGGAGTGGTGCAATTATTGTCTAAAACGATTGCATCTTAATAGGCTGCCCCTTCTCATGTCCTTTGGCTATAGAAGCATTTTCTTTTGGGCTTTTTCTGTCTCACTGTTTGGCATCCCTGGATTGCCAGCTCCTCCATTATGAGCTATATAATGTAACACCCACTATGGGATATATGAGGCAGAAAGAAAACTCAAGGAATTCACCACATATCATTCCTTGAATACAGAGGTCTCTACCTGGTCTGCCTCATTCTCTCCACCTTCTGGAGTCCTCTTATTCATTTTGTATATAATACATGAGGTTTTCTTTGCTATGCTTAGTGGGAGGAATTGAAGAGAAATACATCTACTCCATTTTGTCCAGAATCAAAACGCCTCCATTTCGTTTTTAGTAGCTTTTAATTATTTGTTAAAATTCATCTTTTCTTTCTGAATCTATTTTTTGCCATTATTTTAAAGTTTCTGGTTGATAAATGAAAAATCTGTAACTCCTATGGGACTGTTTCTATTTTTATCTCTTGGTCTTTCATCTTTTGATAGTGTCTTCTGACAATAAAAATAACTTTCAATCAGATGCTGTAAATTATAAATTAAAATTTGTAGTAATCACTTGAGAGCCCAGATGAGATCTTCCTCCAGAGACAGTTTACTGCACTTCACGCAGGCAGTTCAGGTAGGGGCACATCAGCTTACTCCAGTACGGAGTGGGACTTTTACCAAGTAGTATTCTGGGTTTGTAAAAATTGGTCTGTTTCTGATTAGCCCTTACTTCTAATGTGCCGCCCAAGAGTCCTAACTGGAAGCCTGTTGACCAGTGTCCCCTTCCATGATAAGTGCTGAAATCATATTTTCCCCAACCCAGTGATACTGCCTACAGCTTCTGCTTGGGTTCTCTGGCTCTTGCCTGTCCTCTCTGCTACCAGGTATCTCTGACTCTCAGTTACCATTATGAATCAACAAATACCTCAGGGTGACACTTGACTGTCATGTTCACCCCTGAATTCCCTCTGCTCTAGGATCTTGACCCCATAAGTCCTTATTACCTTCGTAGTTCTTCAATCTTTCAAACAAGTATTTCGTTTTGTTTTTAAATCCAGCTTTCCTAATTGTTCCTGATGGGAAGGTCTTTTTGTTTCAAGCCAATTCACCCACAGCTAGAAGTAGAACTAAATTATCTTATTATTTCTAATTTACCTGTAGATTATTTTGTATTTTTCACACGCACAATCTAATTTGCAAGTGATGACAAGTGTGCTTTTTCTTTGTCAATATCCATATCTGTTATTTGCATTTTGATGATTCATGGTTGAGGTCTCCCATCAATCTAGCAAAATCCAGGTACTTTAGTGGATTTATTTTCGTGATAGGGAGAGGTTGTAAGTTGCAGGACTCTTAAACATTCCTCTTTGCTTCTTTTCTTTCTCATCACTTGTTAAATTTTCCTTCAACAGAAGCTCTGTGTTTCAAAGCTGTCGCTTTAAATCATGCCTGCCCCCTTTGAATTGTGCTCACTTTGAAGCGTCTTCCGTATAGTTTGTACTCTGATCTACTTGGACATGTTTTTAGACCATCAGACTGAAGGTGGGCTTGGTCTTTCTGGTGGTAGTTTCAGACTAACATTAGGCCTTTTTATGGGCATCCTTCTTTTCTGTCTTTCTTGCTGTTCATCTCCATCTGCCTTCTCTCCACAGAGCCTTGCACAGGTGTGGCGTTGGGGCAGGCACATGGGAGTACATGCCAAGATTTGGTGATTTTTCTCATTTTATTCAGGCATTTTGGCATTTCACAATTCTCTGACTTCAAGTTATGCTGAAAGTATGGTTTTTGTGTAGGTTTAATTTTTCCTTCCTGTTTTTTGCATTATTTTGCAATGAAATATTGGAAAGCAGGTAGGTTGGGTTGTCTCCAATGTCTTCAGCTACCTGGCTATTCACCTTTATTCTTGAATGATATGTTCAATAGAATTCTATGTTGGAAGCTATTTAGTGTTTTACCCAGCACCTTCAAAGTATAATTTTCCTGTACTCTGGTTTCCACTGTTGGGAGTGAGTCTTTTAGTCTGACTGCTTATTTTTTTGAAGTTAATTTATTTTCTTTCTGACCCCTTTTTCTCTTGGTCTCTGGTGCTTAGCGGCTTCACTGAGATGTTTACCTTTTCTTGCTTAGACTGAGTTTCTTTAATCTACAGATACCACTAACCAACTTTGGAAAATTCTGCATCATGGTCTCAAAATAGTTATGTTCCATTCTCTCTCCCCTTTTCTTCTAGAACTCTGATGATCAAACGTGCATTAGTCTTATGTTCAGTCCACATTTTTACCCTCTCCTTCATATTTTCTACCTTTTTGTCTCTGATGCATAAGAGAGTTTCTGTGGATCTATTTATAAGTTCATTGCTTCTCTGTGTCCAATCTGCCATTATAACTGTGCATTTTAACTTCTGTACTTTCACTTCTGGAAGTTTTATTACTTTAGTTTCCTGTTACAGCCTCATGCTTCTCTTTTAC